GTATGACAGCCAATGTGACGTAGCAGTCAGGGCTTCAGAGGACGGGAGAGGCTGCAGGTGTGTGGGGGGTGGAAAGCTGAAGAGTGAGAGGGAAATAAAGGTAGGTTGATGATTGGCTGGGGAGGAGATAGGGTTGCCAACTCCAGGTGGGAAATTCCGGGAGATGTGAGGGATGGAGCCTGGAGAGGGTGAGGTTTCAGGAGGCGTGGGACCTCGGACAGGTACAAAGCCATAGACTCCACCCTCCAAACCAACTATTCCCTTCTGGGGAACCATCGTTGCCAATCTCCAGGTGAGGGCTGGAGATCACTCAAAATTACAACTGTTCTTTAGGGTAGCAGAGATCAGTTCCTCTGGAGAAAAGGATGGACTCAGTGTCATTATACCCTGCTGAGGTCGCCACAGCAAATTGACACTGAGTGTCCAAGGCCGGGGCATTCACCCAGAGCCTCTTTCTAGAGGCCATTGTATTTATTTCCACAACGGGCCTTTTTCCTAGTTTAGAATACGTATATGCTGCCTCTCCAGAGACCTGCTTGAGGGTGCATTTTTTATTTCCAACCTCCCCCCAAAACACCTGTGGTGGTATTGGGCTGTGTATTAAGGGTCCCTGCATTCCTCATTTTGTGAGATTAAGGTGACAATAAATAGTGTGTATGTTCCAGTATATAGACCATTGTTGCTCTGTTGGCAGGAAAATGTAAGCTAATTATTTGTTACCATTTACAGCAATTTTTTCATTCTGTGTGACGAAGCCTTTAAAAAATTAGGCACCTGTGTATTTGTTTTTTAGATGAAGTTGCTTTTGTGGTATTTTTGGTGTATTTTTGGTAGTTCTCTAGTATATTTTCATAGACTGCTTCTCTGTGGTGTTCTCTGACTACTGGTACTTTTATTTTGACCTTGACTAATGATTTTGTGAGCTTGGAAAATCGGCTATAATAATACAGCAAACTTGGAAGGGACGGCCTGCTTCAATTCATTCTTTCTTAGTGGATAGCATTTTTGTCTCTCCACTTCCCCAGTTTGTGCACACTTGGATCATCCCTGCAGAACTTCTCCCTTCTAGCTAATTAAGAATTTATCAGGTGGGTTTGTAGAGTTTGGAGTTAAATGATAGAGTATTGGGAGAGTTGGCTTCACCCTTCACGGACTGTCCTCCTTCTGTGGGTCATTTTAGCATTTTGTACAAGTCTCTGCTTCCACTGCTTTGTCCGCACTGTATCTGAGCAGCAACTAATGCCTGTGGAAACGGTAGGATTGTCCTCCCCAACTTCTGTCTCAAGGGCATTTTACAGAATTTGTTCTAGATAGGAGGAAACTTCAAAAAGGTGGTGGTGGGGGAATCTGGGCTGCCAGTTTCTGAAGGACAAGGGTGGGGAACAGTGTTGTGTATGTGTGCTGAGGGGGGTGTCTTTTATCTCTCCAGATAATAAAAGCTGGGAGGGAGCCAAGGCTGCAAAGATTTCAGAGTCAGGAAACAGCTCAGAGTGGCCAACTTTGCTGTCTCCTCTCCATTGGCTGTGCCTTCTCTAGTGGTTTATTAATATGCATGCATGCATGTCTTAGGGGTGGAAGGGAACAGATAGTCTAACTGTGTCAGGTTTAGTGATAGGGTAAAATGGCATTAACAAGCCATCCTTTACATCTGTGTATTTCTAAATCTCTACCTAATACCTTTTTGAAAATTTGAGTATAGAGTTGTTCCTCAACTCCTGCACTACAAGTTTGACGTGTAGCCTGTCCTTCAGTATAGGAATAGCAGCTACTCTCATCTGCCCCCTAACTCCATATCCTCTGCTTGTTAGTGTTTGCAGTTGATGAAGGTGCATAGCTAGCAAGTTGTATCCAAACCTGGTTGGATTCCAGTATATTTGACTCCTCCGTGATCATCTGTCACCTTATCTCAAAGGCTGTGATATTTCACTTGTATCTGAAGCTTGTATCTTTCCACCCCTAAGACATGCATGCCCCTGTGTGACAGAGTGTTGGACTAGATGAGCCATTGGCCTGATTCAACATTGGCTTCTCTTTATGTTCTTGAGATTAAAACAGCTGAGGTGCCTGTTCAGTTCATGGCCAGATAAGTAGTGGAAGGAAACAGGGTTGAAACATTTTACCCGCCCATGATGTTGACAGTCAAAACCCTGCTTCCCATGCAAAATGGCTGAGGTGGCAAGAGAACTTTCTAGCAATTTTTTAGAGCTCAGTTCTAGCTGCATGTGGTCCCTGTTCAGGTCATGGCCAGATAAGTAGTGGAAGGGAACAGGGTTGAAACGTTTTACCCGCCCATATGTTGACAGTCAAAACCCTGCTTCCCATGCAATTATAGCACTTTGAAGATGGGTAAAAACTGTATACACACCTTTTCCCATTAAAAGGCTGGTAATAGTGAAGGGCAGCAGCTTTAATTAGCAAAATAATGCAGAAAGGGATGGGTTAAACCCTGTCTTCTAGCCCAGTCTGCATTGGGCCTTGCATGGCTGCAATTTAAAAGACTAATGGAAATCTGTGATCTCTGTGCATCTAGCTTAATCCTTGGTATCTTGAACCTTCGGCTTTTTTCAGTCTTCATATCAAAGTCACCTTTATTTCTTCCAGGTTTCCCAGAATCCTAACTATTTGTGTTTCATTGTAATGATTTTTAGTTTCCTCGTACCTTGCAATAGCATATAGACTGCATTATCCCATAGAGAATGTTGTCTTCCTTTTCAGTTTTTCTTGAAGGATTCTTTTATGCATTATAAGGAATTGCTTGTGAACACCAGGATAGAATTGTAACACCTTTGTCTTAGTTTGTGGTGGGTTCCTCCCGTACAGGGTCTGAATGTTTCTGGTAAGGATTCTTATGTGAAAAGGAGGTGCTTGTTCTAGCTTCACTGGGAAGAAATGGCATTCTTCAAAGGCTTGGCACCGATGGTGACGTCTTCTGCTCAGCAGCTTTATTTGGCAAGATTAAGCCATTGAAGGAACTGCTCCACTTTTCAGTTTTACAACTTGGCTAACTTCAAACCTCGGCATAGCTAAATATGTATGAGTGTGACTCTGTGCAGAGGGAAATCTAAAGCTGTGTGATTCCCTTTAGCAATCTCAGAACTTAATTTGCTCAGCAAGCCTTTGGAGAGGGGCATAGCAGTGTTTTGAACACTCGATAAGCACTCAGAGCATTGATGGTTCATTGCGGGTAAACTAATGTACTGTGTTAAGCACATTTTAGTTGAAACCAGAGCCTGATATACTGAGGGTGAACTTGCATGTGAGTTTATACACTGAAATCTTCAGTGTGGGTGATGTTCTATCTACAGAATGGGCCTTGTTTTATTTCTAGCAAAATTCATAATGCAGCAGAACCACCGATAAGCAGCTGCAAAACTATATTTCAGCGGTATGATGTTCTGCCTGCACGAGTGTGCAATGAGGAGTCTACATGTAATTTTTTAAAAGTTCAGCATGTTTAGCTACGTGTGCGATTCTGTCCTGGATGTGTGAATCCATAATAATCAGCCATCATGTGGTAGATGGCTATATAACATTGCCTGGGAAGGTGGAACTAATAGGGGCTGTACTACTGTCGGTGAACACTTTGAATATGAACACTTTCCTTGAATTTTGTCTCTGTTTTGTAACATAACATCATAACACCATAGTTTTATTCCTCATATGGTTGCCTGTGAAGTAGTGTGAATGCACTGTCTAGAAATAAGACTTCTTAATTGCTGGCCCTTGGGCTTCATTGAAAGTAGCACTGTGACACCATTCCAGTGCACCCAGATAGCTGTGTAAATGCACATGTAACCTCTGTTACGCCACTCATAATTTCTATATCTACTTAGCTCTTTTTAAATTTGTGATGCCACAAGCACACAACTATTTGCAGTCTTGTTTTAGTCTTGTTTCTTCTTTCCCTTTATTAGCGTCAGATATTCCAGCACCTACGTGTAGCTTGGAGGAGTTCCAGTGTGCGTACGGTCGTTGTATCCTGGACATATACCACTGTGATGGAGATGATGACTGTGGGGACTGGTCTGATGAATCTGACTGCTGTAAGTCAGCCACCTTGGGGGCGTGTGATGCGTATGTTGATATAAAATATTTCTGATTCTTCACCAGGAAACAAAAATGCTGTTTCAAGAAGCCTCAAATGTTATATTTAGAATTGATTGTACAAGTCCCAGAATTGGCATAAATTTACTTTTGGTGATTCTGTTGAAAATGTTGATTTTCTTGAAACCTAAAATTTGAATAGTAAGGCAAGAAAAAAGTGTGTGTGGTGGTATGTGGTGGATATCCACTAAGAGCTTTGAGGATGTGGACTAGAAGCTACAGGGCAGGATTGATGCTTCCAGATACTGCATCACTGGCTTTTTATTTTAAATTCAAACTCCAGAATAATTACTGTGAGGTGCCACTAACTTGCTATGATGCAAGAACCCATGTTACTTTTGGGGGGGTAGTATCGCTCCCTTTGCCAGCAGCAAGTTCTGTGGAAGGAATTGTTCTCTGTCACTGTGTGGCTATCCAGAGAGGGGGACACATAACTGAGTCTATTGGGCTTGTTACTCTGATCGGGGCTGGCCGTTTGGGGACAGTAGAATGGAGGTTATAACATGCTGTCTCCTCTTTGCAGCCTCTCACCAGCCGTGCCGTTCTGGGGAGTTCATGTGCAACAGTGGTTTATGCATCAATGCTGGGTGGAGATGTGATGGCGACTTTGACTGTGATGACCAGTCTGACGAAAAAAACTGCAGTGAGTGTCTTCAGGGTTGTGGCAGATGGAATGACCTAATATGGAAGTCAAGAGAGTGTCGGTCATGGCACTAGTGAACTGTGGAGAATAAGGGCATGCAAGCAACAAATCAAATTTGCACTGTCTGACTGAATTTATTTTTGTTTCCACAGCTACGTCTATGTGCACAGCTGACCAATTCCGTTGTAAATCTGGCCGATGTGTCCGCCTCTCCTGGCGTTGTGATGGGGAGGATGATTGCTCTGATAACAGTGATGAGGAAAACTGTGAGAATACAGGTGAAAACCCTGAAAGCAAGTTGCTGCTTTGTTCTCTGTATAGCTAGCCTTCCTGCCTTAAGATCAGTAATTAACAGTGCAGTCCTAAGCAAAGTTGTTCTTAGAAGGGTGTACTCTGTTTAGGGTTGTACTGTAAATGTCCAAATGTCCGAAATTAGAAAAGGAGTACGAAATATTTGCTGCAGTTATTGGAACCGGCAAAGCAGTATATTTTGATCCTCCATAAAAGGGTAAAATCAGTGATTTTGGGAGTTTGGTGCTGTTGTTGTTTTAATTGTGAAGATCACCCAATTAAAGAAAGTGATTAATTATTCATTTTAGTATGATATTAACTAGTGAGATTTGCATCAATTTACATATTGATAACAACAGTAGTTATGAAGCAAAATATACTTCCTTTGATTTTAGGTGATAACACTTGTCATCATTTGATTTCATTCTGTGTAAGAGAATGTATTTATTTCATTTTGAAAACATATATGCTTCTTCTGCAGAAACCTGCTCAAGGTGATTTACAAAGCAAAAATAATACAATAAAATAAGTAAAACAGTATAAAATTATCAGTAATAAGCCGTAAAAACAAGTCAGTTGCATAAAATCTGCAAAAAATAAATAAATCAGCAGCCTAAAATGATATTCATAAAACAGGCTTAGATATGGATTATTAAAAGAGCTAAAAAGATGAATTTATCAGCTATCAGTATTTTGACCTGCCACCTAAATCACAGCAAGATAGATACTTGGTGCAATGCAAGGAGGAGGGCATTCACTGAAGAACCCCTCTTCATGTGTTGATTTCTGGGATTTGAGGACCATTTCATGTACAACATGAATAGGCTTGGTAATATTCAGCTAGCCTTTTGAGTTTTTGTATGGAGCAATATACCTCTCTTGAACTGATGCTAGTATCTTATATTCTAATAGCAAAGTTGGCTAGATCTTTGGATACTTAAATCTGGTAACTGAATCAATGAACAGGCAAGACAGATTTTTCTACAAACCTGAAAAGGGTCCCAGGTTTGCAGAAAAATGTGAAACAAAGAAAAAAATTCTTTGGGGGTTTAAAACCCTCCAAAATAATAAAAGAAGCAACTGTAGCTTTAAGCAATGGATTCCCTCAGTGGCTATTGCTAGGGAACCACAGTATTCCAGCTTGGTTCATGTGAATAAAAAGGTGGGGGGGGCAGGGCACTTTCAAAGGCATATTTTGGCCTTTGAGGGTCCAGGCTTGACTAGAGTTGGCACGCCTCGGTTGTGAAATTCCTGAAGATATTGTGGTGAAGTCTGAGGAGGGCACGGTTTGGGGAGTGGAGAGGCCTCAGCCAGATATTATGAGTCCACCCTCTAAAGAAGCCATTTTCTCCAGGGGGACAGATCTCTGTTGTCTGCAGTTCAGTTGTAAGTCTGGGAGATTTCCAGGTCCCTCCTGGACATTGGCATCCTTAGGCCTGGCAGCAACCTCTGGGTGACCTGATACCACCTGACTTGTATGACTCAATTAGGCCTGGAAATTTCCAACTTTTCAACAGCAGCCGCTGTATGTAAGCCAGTGTGGTATAGCGGCTAGAGCTTCAGAGGAGGGTCCGAAAGACCCATGTTCGATTCCCCATCTTGCTGCAGAACCTCACTGGGTGATTTTGGACCAGTCACATACTTGCAGGCTAACCTACTTCACAGGGTTGTTGTGAGGATAAAAAAGAAGCGATGAATATAATTTAAGCTGCTTTGGTCCCCACTGTAGAGAACAGTGGGGTATAAATGAAGTAAATAAATAATAAATGTACCTGAAGGTAGGTTGGTGAATGATAGATTGGTGAGGCAGGTAAAGGGGAGAAGATATGGGGGTTACCAGGGGAGAGAAAGAGAAAATAGTGTGGGAGGGGGATACAGTGGAAAGTGAGGGATCCCCCATAAGTCCTTGAGATTTCCCTATCGTGCAAATAGGCCTAACCCAGTGGCTGGCACCACACAACTGGACCATGGTTTTCCTAGGCAGAGGAGTGAAGGGAGGGACTGCTTAAGACAGAGGGGCAGATAAAAGTAGATTGGCTGTTGGATGGGAGAAGAGAAGGTTGCCAATGCCAGGTTAGGAAATTCCTAGAGATTGGGGGGAGAGCCTGAAGAGGGTGGAGCTTGAGGAGGGGGAGTAGAACTTAGTAGTGTGTAATGCCATAGAGTCCACCCTCCAAAGCAGCCATTATCTCCATGGGAACTAGAGTTGCTAATCTCCAGGTGGGGGATGGAGATCACCTGGAATTACAACTGCTCTCCAGATGACAGATCAGTTCCCCTGGAGAAAATGGCAGCTTTTGAGGGTGGACTCTATGACATTACAACCTGCTCAGGTTGCTTCCTTTCCCAAACTTCGCCCTCCCAAGGGTTCATCCCCAAATCTCCAGGAATTTCCCAACTTGGTGCTGGCAACCCTAAGGGGAACTGATCTCTGTATTTGGGAGATCCATTGTGATTCTAAGAGATCTCCAGGTTAACAAATCCAGAATGAGAGAAGAAAGCAGGCCTATAGCTATGGTGGGGCATCTTGGGGCCATGCCCCTTACTTTAAAGCCATGCCCCACAAGTTTCCATGTGAACTTTCCATGCCATCCAGCTACAGGCCCTTCTA